ATATAACGGGAGTTGATCCTGTGATCTTCCAATCACAGGCCCACCTTCTCAAACTTCTGCACCGGGAGTGGTGGCCCCCAGCCTCATTTGCCCTACTATGGGCCCTTGATCAAGACCCTTAACCCCCATCATCTGCTCCTGCTGGAGCCCTAGATAGCAGCTCTCTGCTCCACACAAAGGGCTGTGGTAGCTCAATGGTCTGTGGTTGTGTCAGGAAGGACATACGGTGGAAAAAAAATGGCAAAGTCTATGTGCGACTTAGTTCAATGTGGCAACCACTATAATGCAGAGAGCAGCCAAAAGAAAAAAAAGAAGAAAAAAAAATATGTATATCAGTGTTCATCTTAGACAATGACGAGGTAATTTTTGATGGTGACCGTTTTGACACCTAGATATAGCCACAAACCAAAATGGAAGCTGGTACTTCACTTACTTTTCAAGTTGTCACGTTCACAACATGCACAGACAAACAAAGGGTATTTCCAATTCCCCCAACTTTGACCCGTGACACTTCGATCCGTGACGGGACAAAAAATGCACCAAACAATTCCTCTTTCGACTACAAGTGCCTGATTATTCTGACTCCTTAATTCTGACAGAGAGTGTGCAGTCAGGTGCCCATTTCAGACATTTTAGAGATAAAGTCCTCAAACACCCAGAAATATCTTTAACACATACGTAATTCTATTTCATTAAACTTTAAAATGATCTAATAATTATCTTTTATTGAAACTCCAGTAGAGGAAAATTACACAACCAAATTTGTATTTTTCAACCTTTTCCTTTAAATCTTGACTGGCTTCATCTGCCACATTTGAAAGTGAATGAAAATCTGTGGTTCACACGTATAATGAACATAAAGCTCATAACATTTCAGTATTATCAATGTCATTAGTAAAAATAATAAATCAGTACAATTTTTGTTCCTTTATTTTTAACAATTTGACTTCATTTTGTTTCAGTTATTCTTCACGTTAGACTTTAATTCAGGATGTCTGACATGCCAAGACACTTACCTTTATTTATTCACATTGTATGTATGACTCCTCCCTCATGGTGTGTAGGATAATCCAACAACCTACACATAAAAACATGCTGAATTTAGACAGAAACCTGATTATATATCCCACGGGCCTGCTCACGCTGAGGTGTTACAGCCTGCAGTAATCGTTCGGTGCTGCTGGCTGCTTGTACATACTGTTGTGCTGAGCTCTGAACTGCAGCCCTGAATCTTCCTCACATTATGAAAGCCCTGTCAACATGACAAGCCAGAACCACTGAACAATAAGTTTGCAGGAGAGGAGCTACAGAGGTTTAACCTGGCCGGATAAAAGGGCCGGCCAGCAGTGAATCAGTATAAAGTCATCAACTGGAATGGATAAGTCACCAAATGACTCGGGTCTGGAACAATGAGATCACTGAGTTATCCTGGTGAGTGTAAGTGTTTACACAAACAGAAAAAAAAATACAATTATCACCAAAACACGATGTCATCTGATCCTTTTTTTGGTCTACAGGTATCTAGTAATTTATTTGTGAAACAAAGTTCACACTCTGTTCAAATGTGATCAATAACCAAAGCCCTTTAGCATTATTTAGAGAAGGCGCTATCACTAAAGCGCACGTCACAAACAAGGCTGGTTTGTTGTTTTTAAAAGAATTCCTTAAAAAAAATTGTTTCCTCCTCTCCAATAATTTCCCTGGCATCTCATTCTGTAATCCTCTCTCTCTGCCCTCGTCACTTTCTCATGACATGGGGTTCTCCTTGAGCCAATCCTGTACAGGAAAGGCCCATTTCTGGAATGCACAAAGCCAGGAAGGGGCTGACAAATGTTGTGATTGCACTGAATTGGCCCCTGCTGCTTTTTAAGGAGCATGTGCGACCTAAAAGATGAGTTTTGACAGAAGGCATGGCAGGAATCTTTAATGATTTGCCGCAAGCGCACAGTAAGCAGCAGAGCTCTAATCGGTCACAACCTATGAAACAAAGTGCTTTGAGATATTTGTCTCAATTTATATCGTCCACAAACACTGTCTTTATGACATAAAACAGTGGTCATAGACCACAGCGGGCTGCTGTGGTCTTATAGTGGTTACTGGGTAGTTTTCCACAACAAACAGGGGTAAACTCACTTCAGACTTGTGTCAACTTGATCCTATAGTGAAATGAACAAAATAGAGGAATTGCTTACATAACTAAAGGAAGCTCTTTAGATAAAACTAAAAAGCATTTAAACAAATCAATAAAGCGTCTTTTGCTGTTTTTGCAATACAGTAAATAAATATAGACTTTTCTGCATATTAGCATTTCATTGAAACGATACATGTAAGATTGTTGATGTTCTGACGCGCTTAAAGGCAGGAAGAAACTTATCATCTTATTAATGTAACTTGGATAACATCCTGTCAAACCACAGCCAAAACAAGTTTCCTTTTTAAAAAGACGTCTTGGCACAGAAGTGACACTGTAGCCTCAAATCACTCCACAAATACATCACCCGCTTATATAAACCACTTAAAAGCATTTTAGAGCATTTACTGGCACTCAAGATCTTTCTCTGAAAGCGGCACCTTACCCTGCAGGCACTTCTGTAGCAGCAGGTCACCTCTCCCCTCCTGTCTAATCCAGCCAGCTGCTTAGACTTCTGTTCTTTCTGTTTTGGCATGTGGCTTCTGCTCTGTTCGGTTCTCTTCTGGTACTCCTCACTCAGACATCTTGACAAGTCTTCACTTTCTGTTCCTGTTTCCCTCTCTAACTGTTTTCTGTCTTTTTCCTCCTCCTCCTCTGCATGCGTGTGTGTGTTTTGGTCACAGTGTCCTGCCCACTTTGTGTAAGAATGGGCCCTCTGTCTTTGCTTATGTTTCCTGCATGGCGTACTAGATTCTTGTGGCTGCTTTTTTTTTTCACTCACACACCACATACGTCACACAGAGGGGCATAAATTCTCGGTAACCCAAGCAAGAAAACGACACACTACATTCAAAAAGGAGTCCTTTAACAACTCTGTTGCGCAACGGATTAACTTCTGCTGTTTTACTAATCCAAAAAAAAAAAACTTGCAACAACACCAGCGTGTTGCAGGAAAGGTGGAGACAAGTTGCACAATGACACAAAACAGCAATCCACCCGTCCCAGAGTCCCATGAGATTGTAAAAAAAGGATAAATGAAAACTGTCTTGGTGTTGCAAACAGCATCAGATGAACAAGTTGGATGAAAGGAAAACATAAAAGAAGGATGTCATGTGAAAGTAGACACACTTGAAAATGCCCTCACTCTGTCACATCGCCTGTGGCACTGTGGTCAATGCTCTCTTAGTTCAGTCGAGCAAAGCAGGGTCTGTATTCAAGTAAGGAAAAAGTATCTGAAGTGACCTCTGTTTAAAGTGCATTGACACATAATGTGTATCGCCTCTCATACAATATGATATGAGGGGGAGTGAACTCATAAGCGCTGAAAGGAGTAGTTTAGTGTTATTTGATGCAACATTCTTTCAGATAGGTAGTATAATAGTGCTTGATCAGCGGTGACTTCAGTATCTGAACACGTATCTTGAAGAGAGAGGCATAAGGCTGCATCCAGTCTGGGCTAATGGTCAGGCAAACTGGAGTTTTATCAGTTTTCAGGCTTATAAACAACTCTTATTTTCAAAACTACCATACATGCTAACAGTAGCCAGTAACACAGACATGGTTTGTTAGATAAAACAGCAATAAACTACCCAAGCAGTGCCATTTGAAAGTGTAGAGCTTTTGAATTGGCCAATAATTATGTCACAATTGTATTTTGCTTTTGAGTTGAACAAATTAAAAAAGTTGTTATACAAGTTAATAAAAATGAACTTTGCTAGCCATTAGCCTAGCCTAAGACTTTTCTTCCTTTTCCTTGCTCTATGATATCATGGCTGATGAGGTAGTAACTATTGTAAGGAATGGTAAGGAATACTGTAAGAATAAAAAAAAAAGAAAATCACTGTAATGCCACTTTAATTGATGATATATGACTTATCTGTGCTGCTGAATATCCATGCTGCTGATCTCATGCTGCTGATTATCTCATGCTGCTGGATTCATTCATACCCTTCTGCTCACCAATGACTCATGTTCAGGCTGCTGTTGTTACGTCATCTTGTTTTACATAGTGTTTAGTGTCTATCTTAGACATTTTAGAGTACCATTTGGCGTTCGTTTAGTGAATATCTTAGATCCTTACTGTTCCTTTTTACACTTTATATTTTTGCTATTTTTAGATGTAACTGAGACTCTGAGTACTTAATTTTGTTCCACCTCATGTATCACATGTGATGCGAACGACAATAAGCTTGACTTGAACTTGAAGTAATGATAACTGTTCGACAGAACACCACTTCAGAAATACCCAGACTATCCCTTTAATGTGTGCCTTGTATTCTGGTGACACAAGTATTAATTTATTTTACTATTTTAGTTAAGCTAGAAAACAGCAGCTCCATGATTTTCTGCAGCCGCTATAAGTTAAAGTGCCTTGTCTGCTTACCTCAACCCCCCCCCCCCCACACACACACACACACTTCCTGTTCCTAATCATCATGTGACTAACTGAAGTTGAAGTTGTGTCTACAGGGCATGGTTGCATGAAATCTGATGAGACAAGCCTCACCATGTCCTGTAGGTGTGTCTGATGGTTCTTAGACAAATAAAAATGTTCTGTTGCGTTCACACACAAACATATTTATGCAAAGTGCCAGCTCAGACTGGTGGGGCGTTCACTGCCCACACGGTGAAACTGTAACCCGGCTGCTGCTGAGGCTCAGTCACCTCCAGAAAGAGTTGATTAATGGCCTCAGTGAAGCAGTTTTTCCCTTGATGGAAATCTTTTTGCACACTTTATTTTTTTTAGGGTAGATTATATGAAAATGATTTGACTCTATTTTCCATTTGCTGCTGATTTTGATTGCTTCTTTCAAACTGTGGGTGTTCAAGTCACCCTTCTGCACGCTTTTAACCTTACAGAAATCCTTGAATATTTATTACACCCTGCACTGAAAGGCAGGCAATCAAGCTAGTGTGGGTGGGTTTGTTTGTCTGTTAGCAAAATATTCCACTAGTAATTGGATTTTAATAACGCTTTAAGAAATGTATTACTAGATATACATTTGCAGCCAATTAAAATTTGAAGTCAGTCTAGTTCAAGATGTCACTGACAGCTAATCAGTCTCAGCAAACATAAAAACAGCTATAACCCAGTCAAGTTTACAGATATTGAGCTAAATTTTGGTAAGGTAGTGCTGATAGTGGTCTCCAACAAATATTACTATCACTGTGCAAGATCTTTGTTGACAATATTAACATTAACTGTTGAGTCAATTCTGTTTGAGGGCTCACAACTGATAAGGCAAGCCAAGTGCCTCATTATTAGGTAAACATGGCTATTAATGAGACGCTTGGCTTGCCATACAAAGCCACCTTTGTCTAGCTCTGGAACTCCTGGAGCAAAAGTCAAATCAGTTGCATTTCGACGCGCCGCCCGCCCAGGCAAAATGCAGCTGATTTGACCATTAAAGGAAAAGTTCAACTGAGACACACATTTGCTATAATGTCGAGCAAACAAATAATTGTTTTTAAGTGTTAATCTGATTAAATTCTTGTTAAAGTCCTCCTGTGCACGCTTCCGTGGTCACCATTTGGCAGCCAATTGATTTTTGGCACAACACCGGCCCATGTTTCCGGGTGGTCAGCGGTGACACAGAACAAATGCAATGCACCAGCGGTGATGCATAATAGATGTGACTTATACAACAAAATGACATATTTATGTTTTTTCCACTTTATTAGACATATTTGGACTGATGCGACTTATACGGAGGTGCGACGTGTATGGCGGCAAGTACAATAATCAGTGCTTTATAACATTCATACACCCATGAGACACACATCAGATGCAATGAGGTGTTCAGTGTCTTGCCCATGGACACTTCGGCATGTGACTGCTGGTGGATTCTAACCTCCAACTCGTAAATTAGAGGACAACTGCTCTAACCACTCAGCCACAGCCATCCTCAACAGGGGCTGTGGTAGTGGCTGACAATTATTCCCAACACATAGTCAAGATCTTTAATTGAAATTATGTCATACGGGGTGGAGGGCAACACATATACCCTCAAGGAATGCTATAATTATTTTTGATTATTCAAAATTGTACTTTTTGTTTCTCATTTTAAACATGAGACAACTCACTTTTTCCAATCTGTGCTAAAAGAGCAGTATGGTATGCACCAGGCTCCAGAAGCTGTCTCAATACAAATGAGTAGTAGTTACTGGATAAATGTATCACAAGGGATTTTTGCCCTTTTTGCCCTTTCCTTGATTTCTTATCTAATAAGCGCTCCATTATACCCTCTCTTCCCTCCAAGGACACCTTGAGTTCAACTTATGCTGCACTGACCCTCATATACGGTCTATTTCCGCTGCAGAAACTTTACTCTCAATTTATACAGTGCTGACCCTCTGCTGTAATGGCTGCAGCTGCCATCTGGTTTTCCACATTGGAGCTCACCTGATGAGGGAAAAGCTCAAATAGTGCATCTTCTTTTATCCTGCTCCGGTCTGCAGCAGAACAAATGACAGGAAACGCCACCAAGCTTATGTTGGACCACCAGTCAGACAACCGTGATAAAAAGGAAGAGTGGCTGTGACATTATACCAGCGGCGTTAAGTGTAGGCTCACCGAATTACTGGACTGTGTCAAAGAGAGTTACCGATCTCTGCGGCCTCATGTCTGTGACACGACATACTGTACACTGAAACATGAAGCCAGAATGCTAGTTCTTGAGTGTGAGTGCTAATGAAAAATGACAAAAGTGTGATTGTAGTGAGGTCTGACAAGCGTCCAGGAAAAGCTTGCTAATAAAACAAATCCCCTCAGAGGCTGAGCTGAACTGTGACTCAGTTCTGGAAAATGTTTGGGTCTACGCAGGTAACGAGTGTGATGGAGAAATACACAAGCAGGCTATATATGGAATTGCTTTGGGCTCTTTTATAAACCATCACTGAAACGTTTGACTTTTTACAAGAGCCCCTCACTGCACATGGAGCCCGACCACTATTTTAACTTATAATGACGTAATAATACCAGCATAGTTCTCATGGGACACATGACGCTTTCTTGGACTTCACTGTGTAGCAAATATTTCTGTCTTAGCTGGCAAGGAGAAAAGGTTAGTCCTCTGCCGATGCAAAAATAAACAGCTTCATCCACTTGCAGATGAATTTTTTTTCCCCCCCGAAAGGTTCAATTTAAATCAGCAGGGACTTTCTGAGTTCCCCTTTTTTCTCAGAATTTTCAGCTAAAGAAGCAAAAAGGATACTGTGGGAATAAAAGAGTCACTCAGAAAGATTGTACTTGCTTTGGATGTTTAAAAAAAAAAAAATAGCATGGGTTTCTAGAACTAGAAGCGAGTTATAAAGACTTTTAAAGAAAATAAAGTAACTAAATTGCTGTAGCATAAAGGGACTCTCCCTTTTTGACCTCTGACCTGGATCTATCTTTCCACTGACTGTCCTGAAATGTTCATTTTTGCTATAAGAGTTCTTAGTGTTGCCTTAGATAAGTGTTTACATGTTGAATTCCATATCTATCATGGATACATTTAGGAACAAGACAAATATTTCTCAGCAGATAAACGGAACACAAGAACAGCCGAGTCATTATCTTTTACAGACAGGCTTCGGCTCTTTTCTGAGAACTAAAAACGTTTGACAGCTTTAAATGAAGCACAAACTGTGACATAACCTTGTGTGGTCTGACACTGACACTTCCTTATGTTTTGTTTGTGCTCTAGATTACAGACTTCTCTTATTTCATTCCGACATTTTATAAATAATAGCGATGAAGCATTTTTTTGTGCATCAAAGAATCTTAATGAACTGTTCAACCTG